CACATTCTCTTTTAATTTAACTCGGAGGCTGCTGATTGTGGCCTGCAATCTTTGAATAGTAAGTTTATTTCTTTTTAATTTTTGATTCAGTACCTTTACTTTAGTATTTTTGACCTTTTTTGATAATTTTTTTGTACCTGTACGCAGCTGGTCACAACCAGCACAGGAATCGGGATCAATCTCTTGTTTTTTATTTTTCTGTTGAACATTATCGATTTCTTTTCTTTTGAGAGATGGCAAAATAAATTCTGATTTTAGTTTTTGTAAATACTTTTCCTTGTTGGCAAATTTACTAAGTTTTTTAATTTCATTTACAGTGCGCTTAGCTTTCGTGTGTAGGCTTTTTGGATTAATTAGTTCCTTCTCTATTTGAAGGAATTTACAAATTTCTTCATGAAATGCTATGGAATTTCCTTGTACTTTGTTGAATATGTTCTGAATGTCACTGTTTAAAATCATGTTGGTGAGTCACAATTTGTTGTTAGAATAATATTTACCATATATGCTGCAAACGATAAGTATAATTTTCCATATCTTAATATAAAATATTATTATTCTGTAAATAGACTGAGAAAATAGCTTTTTATCATTCATTCTCTAACTATATCTCATGGAAAACATGAAGGGAAAGAGGAGAAAGTGGCAGACAATGACATGATGAAAAAAAAAACTTCTTAAAATGATGAATTTGTGCACAGAATGCAAACACATTAATAAATGGAATATTTATAAAATATAAATACCTTTTCAACATATATGGCACTGACACAGTCTTTTGGTGCAAGTAAATATGCCTTCCCTACACAAAATTAAAAAAAAAATTACATAACTCACAATACAATCACAATATGCCTGCACTTTATGATATAATTAATATAATAAAAGTTATTATATCATTCATTGAAAAATAAATATTAATGTTGTTATATGGTAACAATTGTTACAAATATCAATACTATTAATGTAACTCAGATTAGAAATATATTAATTACATATATATGTATTGTACCAATTTTTCTAGAATTGCATGTCAAAATTACATGTGATATAATTGAAACAAACTATAAACAGCTGATTGCAAAGGGGGGTAATTATAACAACAAAAAACCATTTCAATATTTCAAAAAAATAGTGACAAAAATTGCTTCATTTATATAACTTGTGATTTTTCACATAACCTTTATAAACATTTCCCTAATTATTAATCGATGATGCAAGTTGAAGCAAGCAGAAGAACATGTGCAAATAAATATTTTCTTGTGTCCTGCATTTTAGACATGTATTTTAAAAATTAATTTACATTTAATCTAATGAAATAAACGGTAAAAATATAATAGAATAATAACACAAAATACCTACAGAAAATTAATTTCACTTATAAAGACAATGTCACTTACCAGATAACGTCCTGTTATACGAAACACGAACAATGAAGTGGCGCGTATTTCTGATTGCACGGACACACTCTTCAGGTCACAACTTCCGCTGATTTGGAGTTATCGTTCTTTGCCTCCCCCTAGCGGTCAGTAGAAATGCTAATTTACAGTTAGATGATGTGGACTATGATGAACCATTTGTGTCCTCTTCACTTCAAGATAACTGTGTAAATCTCACAACGGACGGGAAGATTAGTATGCACTGCGGAATACTTCCTTTTCATGTTCTATGTGAATTCGACAAATGTATTTATTAATACCGGATGTCGAACATACAAGTAAAGCTGTACTAATATATAAAGATAATGTAAAAGTAGAAATAAATGTTAAGAAAAGAACAAAAAGGCTAGGAGGGGAATTTTTCAATGCCCCCCAAAAAATCTCTGCAAAATTCTGTTTAAAAAAAAACATAATGCTAAAATTTACCCTTACACATGTTACGCTATTACATGTACGACTCTCGTTTTTTGTTACTGAAATATCTGGTATCCATCTCTGAAAGCATTAGTGATATGGTTTCCCTAACTGCAATTTAATTATGATTGTCAAATGAATTTAAATCACTCCTTTTCATAAAGCAATGATTCGTTAGAAAGAAAGCATACTATTTTACTTTTTTTTTTATAATTATTCAATGAAAACCCAGTGGACCACTTAAGAGGATTTAAAATATATCAACGTAGAAGAGCATTGAATTGCCTTTAACGGAATAATTTTATTTGAAAACGTAACGTACTGTAAAATCACATATTTTTGTGGAGTCAAATTTTGTGGTTTGAGGAAAAAATATTGGATCTTGGGGACTTTATTTCACGGTTGTAAAAGTGTTGAGTTATTGTATAACAAAATTTTACATTTCATAATTCGTGGCTCTCTTCATACATGTACCAGGAAAACGACAAAAATTCAACCCCCACGTGAATTAGTGATTTTGCAGCACGTTAAGCGATGTCTTTTCAGCGAAATAATTTAAAACAGCTTTTGTGAATTTTGGGAACAACCATAGACAGTCAAAGCATACAAACGCAGGAGACGAAAAAAAAACAGTAGCAGAGAAAACACGTGTGAAGACCTCGTTACGCAAAGATTCCTCTGTTAGACATCAACAAAAAGTTCATAATACAATACGCCACTGGAAGGTCGTTGGTTCAAATCCCCGCCACGACTGACTCAAGTTGATAAAGAATATGAAGCAACTAGCTGTTCTTTCGCCCATCGCTCGGCACTTTGGAGTGAGAGTTGCGGCTCCTTTAGATGAGACCTTAAAAACCGTTGTGTTGGCACGATAAAGATCCCTCACTGCTCAATGGCCCTGAGTGCCGAGTAAAGTTCTAAATTTGAAGCCATTCACCGGTATATGGTGGGGTCTTTTTATGAGTGAAAAATTCTCGAACGGAGCGTAAAACAACATACATTCAGTTAATCATAAAGCAATATTAAAAATCGTTACGGGGAAAAGAAATACTGAAAATTATCAAATAACCTATCCCAAAATTCTGAAATATGATAGTCTTTGAAAGTTTTCTCTGTTTCTAAGTTTGCGTGATGTATAAGGATAAGGAATAAAGTTCTTTTATAAAATGTGAACCAGTAGAAGAGAGACAATCAAGGATACTTGTGAATTCGTGAATAGAAAAGAAGGTGAACTTCGGTATCTCAAAAAACGATATCTGGAATACCATGGAAATGTCGAAATAATTGAAAGTCTTAACCACTTATTCTTTAAGAATATAATTTTACATTCAATATGTAAAGGCCTTAGATACTCGATTTTTTTCGTTCAATTGAGTTCGAGAAAAGGAGGTCTGACTCTATTTATTTGATATTTAAAAAACCCTTATTATCAAAGTAATATCCACTACATGTACGAAATAACGAATCTAGAAGCACGACTTCATTTTTCAAAAGAGACAACGCCATGCAGTAATGATATATGGAAATAAACATTGGATATACAAGGATTTTCACGTGACCCCACACTTGACCCCGCGTTACTCTAAAATACTCTGAAAGGTAAAAGAAACTCAGAGTAAACCTTTGACGGGGTTTTATGCTATTTTTTCAAACGTATTTTTCAGTATTGTTATCTAATATTTAGACATCTTTAGTCAATAAGTAAACAAAATTTCATTTGATTTTGACTGATAGTTCATGAGTTATCGAATCTTATACATTTTAAGACGGTACCCCCCAAAAGTGAAAATCAAAATCACCTATGACTCCCTAGCGCATTTTTCACAGACTTGTTTCTCCCCTGCATGGAGTTCACCAGCGCATTTATCTTTCTCATACGAATATTATTCAATCATTCCGATAAGGTAGTCCATAGCTTATGGAGAGTCGCTTCTGCTTTCCGACGCTTATAAGCCCCACCGTCGAGTTAGTCCAACAGATGTTCAATTGCAGAAGAAGATGAACTTAAGGAAGGCCAATCGAGTTGGTTAATATCGAAAAACGATGTATATATCTCAGGTGCATCAAATGGTATTAAACGATATCTTGAAAATTTTGTCATCATTAATATGCTCGTGTTTTTGGCTTTTTACTTTTTCCTCACATGACGTCATACATTTCACGGTTGAGTAATTCTGAACACCGATTTAAGTGCAAAGTAAGCAAGATACCCCACCGACCAGTTTTCTTACTTTTTTGGGCAGACACTCAAAAAATCGTCGCATATTATGTTACTCTCCGTTTCTTTTCCTTTCAGTATAGTTTCTTGTTCTCTAATTGGTAATTGCTATCTCTATATAGTAAACAACCGTTTCAAATTTTACAGATTAAAATAATACAAAATAATTTTTGCAGAACGAGTAGTGCTATTGGGAATAATGCAATTATGCTGGTAAACTGAAACTGTGTCCTTATTCATTGACATGGAATTCAATAAACAGTGTTATAGGTCTGTGCGGAGGGTTCATGTGTACAAGATTTTGTTCATTCCATCATTATTCATTGAAGAAATATCATTTAAATAGAATTTTGTCGGTCAGTCTTTTTAAATAACAGGACTTGTATTGTTCCTCAAAATCAAAGATTAATGCATGAATTGCTTGATTATTATAATTGTTTAACGCCGAGACGGCAATATTTCAGCCATATTTTGGCGAGTTTTAGTGCACGGAAGATATGTACGTAACATGTTTTAAAAAATTCTAAGAAAACCAGAGGAATGAGTTGCAAAAATTATGATAGGAAAACGAATGAATGACATACACTTTATTTATCCATACGCACTTCTGCTTAACGATAAATAGATCATTTTGAAAGCATCAAAGTATCTCTTCAGGCTTGATAAGGCTTGATTAGCGGAAAGTTTGATGAAAAATATTTGCCTATGAATCAGATTTCATTCAGTTCCAAAGGCAAATTAACTCTGAAGGAAAGTTATCTTCATTATGAAAGGTAAACATAATATTATCAACTTTTCATATCCAATAAAAACAACTATACATGATGGAGAAAAAATGAACTCTTAATAGAAACACTGTTCAGCAGCTTAAACAGCAGTAACACACGTCCTACAACAGAATGCAATGTTTGACATTCTGCATTACATTTAACATGGTGCTGCATCAAACATTTCAATATGAAGCTTATTCTCACAGAATTAGGACAGCACTTTACTATCGTATTCCTTCAAGTACTGAGTCGGAGGAAGACGAATTCCGTCTGATCTTTCCACCAAACATTTATAATGACGTCATCAGCGTCACCGATTGCGCAGTTAAATCTTTAGCGCTGTCTGCGACATCGTTTTTGTACAATTTGGAGGAAATGAAGTGTGATCCGGATGCATCGTCTTCCCTTGGAACAAATTCAGGATTTTACCATTATGCTCAGCAGGAAAAAGGTATCTTCCAGTTTATTTAAGAGTTTAGGACCCATCAACCAGTAAATTTTAAATGAATGGTAATATAACTGTCGCTTAAAATTCAGACACAATATGCATTGAATTTCCATTTGTTACAAGTAAGTAAAATTGCTCTTTCATTGGATATTTCATGTTCTCTTTGCTAATTTAACAATTTTAATTTAATTTAAAATATATTTTCTTCATTATTCCTGAATAGTATTGAACAGCAGGCATAAAGGCCTATGATCGTTCTCTTCAATTTAATAATTTTACAATTTTATATGGTGTTTACCGACAGAAAATTTATTGAAAGAATGCAGATATCGACTGTCAAAGAGAAAAACTTCATTTCAAGAGGCGAAGGTAAATTCAATACAATTCTTGCTTTTGAAAAAAACTAAGACGAGACAATAATAGTTTTAGAAAACTACCCGAATATTCTGGCAGGAAGAGCGAATACATGGACATTTTATCTGAAAGTCTAGGTCTTGTCTTGTTTATTGATTCGGCAGGAAAGTAAATATGAATTAGGGCTTATGTTTATCTAGTCGTTGACTCTGCTAACGTAACAGAAATAGATTATCTTCATAAAATAACATATTAAACATAAATTTGCTCACGTAAGATCTCCAATGCTTTACATTGAAACTTTAGATTTTGAATTGAATCGCTTTTAAATTTGTATGATACTGAATATCTATTTTAATCTACCTTTTCATTAACATTTTTTAACAGAGTAGATGTGAGTCTGAGGGTGGATACCTTGTAAAAATAGGGAATAAAGAAGAAAATGATTTTATAAGGAAACAATTTCCAGGTATTGTTGTTTCTCAAACCGGAAGTTTGATAGCTTAATTTGAATGCTTTGTAAATTGGCTTGATAACTCAATTCAAGCAATGCTCTGAGCTGATAATATTACAGGGAAGATTAAAACTTATTTATAAATAGATAAATATCTTTATAATAATTTCAGTTTAATTATTCATTTTAGCTTTTATGGTTCTATCGCAGTCACTATATCCTGTGTGTTATTTTTCTTTGCATGAACTACAATGTTATTTTGTTCTTAAAAAGAAATATTTACATCCACTGAATATTATTTCCTTCATTTCTTATGAAAACCTTTGCCGTTAATCAGTCCATAAATAACACTAAGCAAGCCACCTGCATGCATAGATTTCTTAAGCAACGGCTGTTCCATCAATTATGCATTGACATTTTTAATTTACTTTGAATGTGTTTTTTTAATGAAGATATACACGGGTTCTGTATTTTTTCTGCAACAGCTGCGACATTAATTCCCGTACTAACAACCAAAGAAAGCATTTTATTGTTTAAATAAATACACTTCAATAGTGACACATACTTTAGTTAAATTTCAGCTTTATTTATTTCTTTTATGATGCTATGGCAGGCTACACATGCGTTCCTCAGGAAACTCCAAATTTGTAAATTGCCTTAGGACATGATTCAGAGGAGCGTCATATCACAAATTTATGCAATTGACATCTTTTTTATATTGCCTGCATAATAATCAGTTTCACAAATAGGTAGAATATGTTTTAAACTGAATTTTATATATGAATCGACTTAAATTGAATTATTTTTCACGTAAAAACCATTGTAATATCACGACTTTGTGATTTGAAAACGACATCCTCTATGACTGATATCCACTGTACAAAGGCGTTTTTACTTCTCGTAGTATAGAATTAATAAAATCAGAATTTTGCAATTCCTTACATACATGTTTAAAATTAGGTTAAACTTAAATAATTAAAGAATAGAAAAAGTTGTTGACATAATTTAACCAGTAAAAGTATGTTTTTCAAGATTTTTCGTCACTGGTCCCATTTCAGATAAATCTATATGGCTGGGAGCTAAAGTATCCAATAGTAGCATCAGATGGGACAATGGTGAAGAGGTACATTTCACGGACTTCGTCGTCAATGACCCTGGCTTAAATGACCTAAATTTACTAAAGGTGCCTAGATGTATAATATTTACGAATGATGGTTGGGAAACTGAAAGCTGTTTTGATTATTTTCGAAATTATTTTGTGTGTGAATTCGATCAATGTGTTCAATATGTTCAATAAATTGCTCCGTTTTTCTGTTGTATGATAAAATTGTTTGTTTTTTATTGTTTAATGTCCCTCTCGAGAATTTTTCACTCATATGGAGACGCCACCACTTGCCGGTGGAGAGCTGCAAATTTTGACCTATACTCGGCATTCAAGGCCATTGAGCAGTGAGGGATCTTTTTCGTGCCAGCACCTACTGCGACACGGCACCTCGGTTTATACGGTCTCATCCGAAAGACCGGTCTCCACGTCTCACAGTGGGATTCGAACCCGCGACGTAAGGATCACCTCCTTTCTCCGCGACTCTAGAGCGAACGCTCTAACCACTGCGCCACGCGGACAGCTATGATAAAATTGAGTCTGCCAAATATAGTCTTTGAATATTTACGGATTGTACGTAACCTGTTGGTTACTTAAGCAACCTAAGTAACTAAGTAACCTGCTGGCAATGCTTTGACATATTTTGTTTACTTTGACACTTTCTCTCATACTTCTTTCCTTTCATATTTTACATTTATACTTTTGTTTACTAAGATTCATTACTTCGTGCGTCGGCTCACTATGATGCTTTACCTTGTACGATGATTTTCAAAAATACTTTTTAGGTCACGTGCACCTGTGTCACTCAGGTGACCTATTGCTATTCCCTTTTTTTCTCTGTCGTCGTCAGTCGTGCGTTGTGCATTAACATTTGAACATTTTCAACTTCTTCTCTTGAACAGCTAAACCAATTTCAACTAATTTTGGCATATTGGATCTATTGGTGAAGGGGAATATAAAATTATGAAAGTATTAGTCCCCCCCCTCCCCCGGGCCCTGAGGGGTGAGGCTAAAACCATCAAAATTAAAGCAATTTTTAAAGTCTTCTTCTTTACCCCTGGATATCAAGCATTCAAACGGTTAGCATGATTGTATTAAGCATTGAGTTCTATACCAAAATTCTGAAATTCATGGCCTCAGGATCAGGGGTTCTGGTGCTAAGGCGGGGCTATATAGATCATATAGTGAAAGTGCATCATTTAATTGAAATCTTCTCTTCTCCTGGGTATTAAACAAACTAACTAAGTACATACTTATGATGAGCAAGGGTGCTTCTTTCAAAATTGTGAGTTTCGTGGCCCCTGGTCAGGGGTTCTGGTGTTAGCGCAGGGCTCAATTAATTATATAGTGAAAATGCATAAATTCTTTGAAGATCTTCTCTGCTCCTGGGTATTAAAAAACTATTAAGCACATAGCTGATTTGAACATATTTTATTGCAATGAATATATACAATGGGATTGGACAAAAGTTCTAAAAACTTAATTTGCCCTTTCCCTTTACACAGTAATGATGAGCAAGGGTGCCTCTTCCAAAATTGTGAATTTCATGACCCCAGGGTCAAAGGTTCTGGATAAAGGGGATGGGATTATATGATTATATAGTTAAAGTTCATTAATTTTTTTGAAAAATTTTCTACTCTGCTCTGGGTAATATTTAAATAAACTAAGTGCATGGTTATGATAAGGAAGGATGCCTCTTCCAAAATTGTGAAATTTATAGCCCCAGGGTTGGGGGGGGGGGGGGTTCTGATGAAGGAGGGAGATATTGATTGTAGAGTGAAAAAGCATAATTTCTATGAAAATTTTCTTTTCTGCTCCTGGTTACAAATCAAAGAGACTAAGTGTATAGTTTTGATGAGGAGGAGTGCTTCTTCCAGAATTGTGAGTTTTATGGCCCCTGGATCAGAAGTTCTGGTTTAAGGGTTGGGTTCTATTGATAATATAATGAAAATGCATTAATTTTATTAAATGATCCTGTATGGTCCTTAGTGTTGAGCAGATAAAGTGTATGAAGAACAAGGGTGCTTCTTATAAATTTTTTATAACTTGTGGTCCCAGATACAGGATCAGGGATTCTGGTGTATTTTTTTTTTGGGGGGGGGGGGTGCATAGCTATGATGATGAGGGTATCTCTTCCAAATTTGTGAATTTCGTGACCCTGGGTCATGGATTCTGGTGTTAGGGTAGGGTTGTATTGAATCTGTTGTGAAAATGCATTTTTTTTTGAAAATCTTCTATGCCCCTGAACATCTCGGAAGTAAACAGAGTAAAAGTTTTAATAAGCAAGGGTATTTAAGAACATATAGACCATTTGGTCAAGTGTTCTGGTCCTGACCAGGGCTCTATTAATTTGTATTATACTGAGAGAAGTTATTTCCCTTTGCCATTCAGTTCTGATAAATAATCACTATAAATAATGTACTTGAAAGGTTCATTCAATAAGAAAATTATGCAAGATTTTTTTGGTATAATACAAAGAGTACTTTCATAATTTTAATTATCAGAAAGACTTGCAAGTAATAGATAAATAAAAATGAGACAAAAATATCTTATTAAATGTTCTTTAAAGACTACGAGACGCCAATGTGAGAGATTAAAATATGGGTTAAAAATAATAGTTTGTTTATAGTCTTCATGGTAATAGTGTTAATGGAGGACAAATTAGAACTTAATTTATGAGTCGTTACGAATTAGTAGACTGATTATTTCCTTGATTCTGATCATTTTATTTCTATTGCTTTTGGGCAAAAAAGCTTCATCTACAAGTTTATTTTCTACTCTGTAGATCCTCTTAATTGTTTTATGATACCCAGATGACAGATAAGGCCCTTGGGTCTCTTGTTTCTGATACATTTTTAAGCTAACTTTCTTTGATACTTTGTTTTCCCTTGAAACTTTATTTGAATATTCATTCACAATGATACTTTTCTTAATTTTCTCACTATGAAACTTAACATTGTACATTAGTTTACTGTGATATTTAACTTTACTACTTCGGTTTATTATAAAACTTTATACATTGGTTTACAATGATACTTTACACATTGGTTTACAATGATACTTTATACATTGGTTTACAATGATACTTTATACATTGGTTTACAATGATACTTTACACATTGGTTTACAATGATACTTTACACATTGGTTTACTATGATACTTTACACATTGGTTTACAATGATACTTTACACATTGGTTTACAATGATACTTTATACATTGGTTTACAATAATACTTTATACATTGGTTTACAATGATACTTTATACATTGGTTTACTATGAAACTTTACACATTGGTTTGCAATGATACTTTACACATTGGTTTACAATGATACTTTATACATTGGTTTACAATGATACTTTATACATTGGTTTACAATGATACTTTACTCATTGGTTTACAATGATACTTTACACATTGGTTTACAATGATACTTTATACATTGGTTTACTATGAAACTTTACACATTGGTTTGCATTGATACTTTACACATTGGTTTACAATGATACTTTATACATTGGTTTACAATGATACTTTATACATTGGTTTACAATGATACTTTACACATTGGTTTACAATGATACTTTATACATTGGTTTACAATGATACTTTATACATTGGTTTACAATGATACTTTACACATTGGTTTACAATGATACTTTACACATTGGTTTACTATGATACTTTACACATTGGTTTACAATGATACTTTACACATTGGTTTACAATGATACTTTATACATTGGTTTACAATAATACTTTATACATTGGTTTACAATGATACTTTATACATTGGTTTACAATGATACTTTACACATTGGTTTACAATAATACTTTATACATTGGTTTACAATGATACTTTATACATTGGTTTACAATGATACTTTACACATTGGTTTACAATGATACTTTACACATTGGTTTACAATGATTCTTTATACATTGGTTTACTATGAAACTTTACACATTGGTTTGCAATGATACTTTACACATTGGTTTACAATGATACTTTATACATTGGTTTACAATGATACTTTATACATTGGTTTACAATGATACTTTACTCATTGGTTTACAATGATACTTTATACATTGGTTTACAATAATACTTTATACATTGGTTTACAATGATACTTTACACATTGGTTTACAATGATACTTTATACATTGGTTTACAATGATACTTTATACATTGGTTTACAATGATACTTTACACATTGGTTTACAATGATACTTTATACATTGGTTTACAATGATACTTTACACATTGGTTTACAATGATACTTTACACATTGGTTTACAATGATACTTTATACATTGGTTTACAATGATACTTTATACATTGGTTTACAATGATACTTTACACATTGGTTTACTATGATACTTTATACATTGGTTTACTATGAAACTTTATACATTGGTTTACAATGATACTTTAAACATTGGTTTACTATGATACTTTATACATTGGTTTACAATGATACTTTACACATTGGTTTACAATGATACTTTATACATTGGTTTACAATGATACTTTACACATTGGTTTACTATGAAACTTTATACATTGGTTTACAATGATACTTTACACATTGGTTTACAATGATACTTTATACATTGGTTTACAATGATACTTTATACATTGGTTTACAATGATACTTTATACATTGGTTTACTATGATACTTAATACATTGGTTTACTATGATACTTTATACATTGGTTTACTATGATACTTTATACATTGGTTTACAATGATACTTTTATACTTTATTTTACTGTTATACCTCTACTACTTCGTTTTACAATAAAACTTTACTTTGTACTTTGTTTTACCATGATGCTTTGTCGCCCGCGTGGTGCAGTGGTTAGAGCATCTGCTCTAGAGTCGCGGAGTAACGCAGGTGAGTTAAGGCTAGGTATAGGCATTTCTATGCAAATAATCTATTAAAATGCGTATGGACTATATTTATCATACAGAGAAAGTTAAAAGTTATTGTCTAATACATACTTGGTATCCGCGACATGAGATAACCATTGCACATCATGACGTCATATTATGACGTCATTGTTCTTTACTACACAGGGTTCGACACTCGTCAAAATTTAGTCTCGCCATTTGGGCAACCCTGGGACTGATCGCAGGTTGCCCGAATGTATTTCAGGTTGCCCGAACAAATGTTTGATTCCTGCAA